CCTGCAGCCGCCCTACCGTGATAATAACGCCACGGTCACCCGAAACGGTACCTTCTTTAGTACCTTCACTATCGCTCGACAACTCGATTGACTATACACCCGTATCATACTCACCCACACCAACAGAACCACTTGACCTAACAATCCCTTCAATCCTTGACCCTGGGGTTCTAGAGATCCTCAACTACTCTCTCCCGCCTTTCGAGGAACGATTCCTTCCCTCTCCTTCTCTTTTTGACTAGTGTCCTTAGAAGGTAGAGTCTGGCCACACATCGTGAATGTTTTCATTGGTCAATCCCAAAACCGCCTCACAATGGCGTAACCAATCACACAGTACAGAAATCGCGCGTATATATGTATATAGATTACAATATGTTTGAAAGTATGAAGGCTATGAACGCTTCGAAATATTTGTACACTAACTCAGACAGTGCACAATATTTATAAAATATTAATAAAATATTTTAAAATATATTTTTAATATTTTGTAAATACTTTTGTGGTCCTAGGTTACATAGATTATAAATATTTATTATAAATATTATGGAATATTTTTATTTCGTACATATTGTAGTAAATGCTATGAAAATACTTAATAAAATATTAAAATCTGAATAAAAAATATTTACTAGAAAAATATTTTTGTTTTATTTATATTTATCATAAATTCACGCAAATTCCAAATATATAGAAAGTAAAACTTCTTTATTAAATTAAAGCGCTTACATGTTTTGGCTCATTTTTTAGCCTTCTTCAGAGACAATTGTATATAACATAAATAATGCAAGACCAAGCGATGATTTATCAATGTGAATTCCCCGCAATCATGAATTCATGTTAATATTCTATCCATCTAATAATACAATTCCCATAAGGGGAAAAAACAGAAAAAAAAGGAAAAAGAAAAAAAGAAAAATAAAGATATAGAGGTATGTCGGATTGTGATGTCTGGGAATGGATTTAAAAATAATTATACAAAAGGATGCTTCAATAATAAAGTTTTATTTAACTACAGAGTGCATAGCCATTGTTTTACTACTATACTCTTTTTGTTTTAATTTGTCTTTTTTACAAGATATGTGCATTCTGTAAACAATAAAACGTTTTTTAATTTTCAAAGGTAAATTGTGACATGATTTCATAGAACATGTTATAGTTTTCATTTGGTCCATGTAAAATGTTATAAAATTGCACATATTTAGTTTTACATAAGATAAATAGTGACGTATAATAATTTCCATCCTATAAAAATATATGAACGTTTCATTGTTGATATAAAACAGTGTGTTTTTACGAAAACTCCGCAACCGAACCAGATTTGCGTATTGTTGCTTTGGATCGTAACATTTTGATCCAGCAGAATTTAAACATTCTAAGCATATTGTACTATTTTTACGTATACTTGTTATAATATAGCCTGCTATGTTATATAAATGATTTAATTCAACATTATCCAACTGAATTTTGTTTGATTTAGGATATGATTCAGGAAGGACTATATTCTTCTCTATTACTTTATTCTTTTTAGATGTTTTTAAAAAATCATCAATCATGTCTCCATCATCTTTATCGTAATTGGACGTATGTGGCGTGTGAAGATATTTTGATATTGCTAGAAGCTTTAAATTCTGCTTAAATTGCAAAGCATTTGGAATTGGGTTCCTTGTTCTTATCGAAGAGAAAACATTTTCGAGACAGTCTTGTGTAAAGCGAGATGTTAAAACATAAGAATATTTTCGTTCATTTATGAGATATTTTGTCAATTCTATAATAGAAGTTGTAGTAAGCATAATACCTGTTTGAACAGGTTTAAATGTAGGTTTGTAACCAATTTTTATTTCTCTAAATAGTTCTACAACAGATTCCAGAAACGCAATACTATCTTCGAATTTTTTTCCGTCATTTCATTACCTATTGTTTTATCTAATGCAACTTTTGATGTTCGAGCAGTTACCAAAGTAAACCATTTAGAGCAAATTTCAATAAATGTTACTGTACTGTTCAATTCTTGCCTATTTTTTTCTTCAGCGAAGAAATACAAAGCACTACTAACATCTCGACTCAATATATTTCTCGCTTTATTTACTTTCATTCTATTAAATGTACTGCAAGTTATATCTTTTTTTGAAATCTTAGGTGTTAGTTTAAATTGGAGATTTTCTTGGATGTCAATTAAATCATTTAAATGTTGGCACTCAACAATAGAATGGGATAAATTGTGTATCCGAAGGAATTTTTGTGGCAACTCAATAATTTTGTTGTTTAGTAATGCAGCTTTAAGATTTTTTAGTAAATGCGGAGCATCAGCAATAAAAAACAATTTTCGACCTTCATCAACAGGATGAAAAATACTATTCCTAATTTTTGAATATTTGCTACACCCAATCCCTTCAAATGCTTTCCACATGCTGCAATTTACGGGACCCATGTTGGAAATCACGCCATGGACATATAAACCAATAGCTTCAGCTTTTTCTATAATTTGTAGTATAATGGGTTTTAAAATAGCACCATTTAAGCTATCAGGAGTATAATGATACGCAACAGGGATTTTCCAACGTGTAAACAGACCTCCAAGCATGAAAATTAGACAATGTGTAGCTTCTTTCACTGTACCTATTAGTTTATAGTATTGGACAAAGAAAAGGAAAAATAGAGTAAGAGAAAGAACTTAATAAAACAATAAAATGTAAAGATATATGTAAAATTACACATACACACGCACACAACAAAAGGTAATTAAAAAAATTCATATTGAGCAATTTTTGCACTAGCGTTCTCTCAAATACAGTAAATCCTAATATATGTTTCGCTATACATTTCTAGTATTTTCCATTTACAATTCTAACTCAATCGATACTTTTCAATTCTACTCGAAAGAAGGGTCAGAGTGTGTTCAAATGTTATTTTGACCAATTGAACGATATTAAAATTATTTAAAAAATATATATACGGATACATTGGAAAATATACTACTAAGAAACTATGTCGAGAGTGTGTTATTTTGTGTTGATTTAAGTCTTTTAAAAGGAAAGCCTATATAAGTTTGAAGTATTGGAAGTGTATATCGGAATACATTTTAATGTTAACATCATACCTTCAGTATAATGTCGCGACGCGACGCGCGATATTCAATAAGCATACTGTTTTTTCGGAATAGCAATATGTTTATTGAATATCGCGCGTCACGTATCGCGTCACGAATCGCGCCATAACGTTACCGTATATGAAAACGCTACTGCAAACACTTTATTTATGTGTAAATCAAAGACAGAGAATGGACTGCGCAATTCGCGTATCAAAATGGTCGATAAAAGTAAGAGAGGGACCGTGGAAAACGGTCATCGCTATCTCTTTCCATTCAACGGTGTAATGGGAGAGAGAATGAGAGGGAAATTGACCATCTTCCACGGTCCCTCTCTCTCACTGTCGACCACATTTGATACACTACTTAGATACGAAGCGCGCAGTATATTCTCCATGTTTTTGGTGTATACCATGTTTTGGTGTATACCATCGGGCAGAGTTGACAGTCCAAAAGAACATTTCGTAGATGGATCAACCTGTTTTCCTGCAGCAATGCTCATTTCATCCATGACTAATACGCAATCTCTTTCACGGTTGTCAGTAAATTGCAAAACTTGTTGTTGTAATTTGTAATATATCAAATATATCATTACACACACCGGTTTCAAATTTAATATTCTCCAATTTTCTTCTAAGCGTACGCTCTGATGGCAAAGGAATGTTTTGATTCAAAAGTTCTGTGTAACCAGTACTACCACAAGACATTTTCAGTCGTAAAGCTTTTATAATGGTATTATTACTCCATTTTAAACTTCGTGGATTTTGTTCGTCCAGAACTACAACCTGATCATCATTCAATATTTTGCGGATATCGATATTTTTGCTTGTTTCTAATATACGTATTTTCTGTACTAATTTTTTGTTTTCATTCATACGTTTCCTTGCGTTTCTCTTTAGTAGCGTTTTTTATTTGTCTAATTTAAAAATTATCGCATTTGCTTTCTTCAACTTTATCTCCGTTTGTTTAGCTCTTATTTTTATCCGTTCTACTTCTTTTTTTGCCCGTTCAGACTGTAATAATGCATTTTGGAGTTTTGAATTTGCCTCTTCAAGACTTGTAACAGTAACTATTGACGATGGCTTTCCTATTTTTATATTTTGGAAACTTGTCAATGAGACATTTGACGAATTTTCAAATATAGTAACTGATGATGCAGTACCTATATACTTCATTCTATATTGTGTGATATATATCAAATACATATATAAGAAAAGTAACAATAATTTAGTATAGAATTAACTAATAATATGAAATTTAACTTACGTTAAAAGAATGAGAGATCATTTTATTATCAGGTACTGGAGATAAAGTTGTTATATGCACTTCATCCTATATTGCAATAACAAGTATATTAAAAATAATAATAAAATAAAAATAATAGCACAAAAAATTAACACAAAATTAAGCTTACATTGGAAGAATTAGAGATCATTTCATTGTCGTCTACTCGAGATAAAGCTGTTACAATTTGATTTTTATTTTTTTGTGGAAAAATGGTAGGTATTGCATTATATTTTAATTTCTTTTTCCCATCTATTCGTGGTTTTTCCCACATTTCAGGTGAGAAATGTACCTGTTGCATATTAGTAATAATATTAATACAACTTTTAAATAGTCTTTCTATATTTGCAAGTCAATGTTGTTTTCTTTCAATATTTCTTGGTAGGCGATGCATTGAATGTCCCGTTTTCCACGAGTTGGAACATTTCATTACACAACAGTAATGCTGGATTCACATTGCATCCGATTTGCGTCGCGTACAACGCTCTTTAACCAATCAGAAAACAGAATTCCGATGATACGAAGCAAAATCCATCGGAATCCTATTTTCTGATTGGTTGTAGAGCGTCGTACGACGCAAATCGGATGCAGTGTGAATCCAGCATAAGGCATTTTGTGTATTCTGTAAATAATGCGTATTGCATAATAAAATTCCTTTTATGATTAACATATTGTAAGAATGTTATTATTTGCTAGATTAGAAAGTTACTTATGAATTTTACACTTCTAACAAATATGAAACTGACGAGTTGTAACACGATAATAATTTAACTTACTGTGTATAAGTTAATCGATTTCCTTGTGTCCTTTAAAAGGGTATACGTATGTATACGTATGTCCACGATATCACGATATAAATGTACTTCGAGAAAGCTGTGATCAATCCCCACCACTTACTGACGCCATTTTGAGGGGTAGTGGCCAGACTCTACCTTCTAGGGACACTATTTTTGACCAGCTCCCAACTCCCCTTTTCTCTTTTAATCAACTCCCAACTCCCTCTCCTGTCCACCCCGATCCTCAATCTGCCGATTGGGATCGGATCGTCCAATCGTTCTCATCCACCTCCAATGAAGGGGACAGACTAATCACCGTCTACGTCCCTGGAAATTCCTCCCCTTTCCTCGTCCAACTGAGACACCTAGTCCTAGTCTGTCCATGGACTTCCTTCCTCGCAACCAATACCTAATAATCACCTCTTCCTCTCTTACGCGCACACACACACACGCACAAAAAATTGTAATAACAGCAAAGAACAACCCACATACATGCGCTCACGACTTCACTACCAAACAATTATTGTATTATACATAAAACAACACATTAATCATGTAAGTTAGCTTTAGTTCATTTTTTAAATATATATATATATTTTTTTTATGAATAAAAGTAAGTTTTAGTTTTTCTTATATAGTCGCATTTAATTCTTAAATCGCCTCACACGAATATCTCGTACCCCCGTAACGCCTAAGATTGCACGAGGTCCAGTCCCAGGTCAAAAGGATTAAGTTCCTTGACCTAAAAAGTAGGACAAACGTTTGCACTGTCCATCGGAACAGGTGTCATAGCGTCCCTTCAGGACGTTGACCCACGTTCTGGGACTTAAAAGTGTGCTACGACTCATAGCTGTGCGCTTCCGTGCGTGTACCTGTGAGATTAAGTCAAGCGTCCTTCCATACCCTCTCCATCTTCCTCCTGTCTCTCTCTCACTCTCGCCAATAATTGGGGTTGGACGTAACAGTATATTGTGTATATTACATTATTAAAAATAAAAATTGTATAAACTATGCCGATTATAAGATTACATGAAGGAGATACTGGAATGATTCGGGTGGCACCCAGTTGGACACGGTTCATTTGGACACGAGCCACTTACAGCGCTTGAGACTACAAAGCTCCTAGGTACCTGGTCGCTGTGATTGGTGGTATCCAATCGAGCCGTGATCAATCGGGATCACCCCACGCTTCAAAGCGTTTCAAAAATTGGTCCATTTGCACTGTTGGCAGCATTAATAGTACTAATGGACCGTTCTATAGAAGCATATGAAAGTGAAAACGTTTGAAGCGTTTGTAGCGCCAAGTGGACCGCACCCTATGGCTGTGTTCCAAAATTGTTTGTCAGCGCTGGCAGTACTGCCAACACCGTTCCAAAAATCATCGTAGC